ACTTTGCTGACTTTCTTATCTCACTCCGCCTTTCTTGCTAGTTCTGCCTCTTCCACCAGGCCCTAAATGTGCATGAGCCCTGGTCTCTGTCCTGTTCTGGTTTGCCTACCTGCTCATGGATACTACCTGTGGCTGTAAACATATGCGCAGGCCACCACTCCCAAGTGGACATCTTTGGCTCCAAAGCATCTTTTTCCAAATGCCCACTTGGTATCTATACTTGGAAAGCTCATAGACTACTCAGGTTTAAGGCAATAAAACCAGAGCCCTGGATGCTCAGGCCCAAGTCTGTTTTCCCAGTGTCATCTACCTAATGAATTGGTGTTTCCATCATTCCTGTTAGTCAACCCAAGCCCAGGAGTTACTCTTAAAAGGCTTCCCATGGCTCTAAGGATGAATATCTCATGATGTCCTGCCATCCTTACGTCATCAGGCCACAGACTAACTCCATTCTTAACCCCTTCCATGGTCACTCCCTAGTTTTTGCTACAGCTCCTTCTTCCCATCCTGTGAGCACTCCACACCCGCAGGCTTTGCATTTGCTTGGCTCTCAGCCGGGCACTCTCCTTCAGCTCTTTACATGTCTATCCTCTTCCCACCTTTCATGTGCAGCTTCTATGTTGTTTCCTAGAGTCTTTTAATGATTTCTCCTGCCACTTCAGTCACTGTCTCCTTACAGCCCTCTTTGCTCCTTTTGATGGTTTTCATCGATACGACCAAATTGCTGATTATAATTCTGTTTCGTTGGCAAGTCATCGTCTTAAAGAAGCAAACTCAAGAGAAATCATAAGTCATGGAATGCAGCCTCAAGTTAGGAGGTTCCCACTCGAAATCTGAGGTCGGAAAACAGAGGCCAAACTTGCTGCCAGGCTGCTCAGGGACCTGAGTGTGTTGTTGATTGTGGCAGCCATAGCCCCGCCTCAAACATAGTGGGCTCAATGCCCATCCTCCAGCCATCCTCTGTGCTGATGCTGGTGGTGTGTTGCTTCCTTCACAGCATGGTTAAGCATGATGCCTGTCAGCTGGGGACAGAGTGACAAGCCTCAGCCCATGTGACCCATTGTTTCTAAAGGGCTGCCAGCTGTGGGAGCTGTCAAGCTCCCAGGCCAGCTGTGGTTTGAGATTGAGGAAGCTGCCCGAAAAGCACAAAGGCAAAGAGGATGGAGGACCAGAGCCATATGCAGTGGCCAGGGGACAGGAGCCCGTCTTTTCCAAAGGATGGGCTGAGGGCTTAGCTACTCCTCTGACCATAAATGGCTTGGCCAAGGCTCCCTTGGAGCCACCTCTAGCCCTGCCTCCCCAGCTCTCTCAGTTGGGTGTTCCTACAAATGGGAGACACCAACCAATAACACCAGCAAGAAAGGAGCTTGCCAAGGGCTGTGCTTGGAGAAGGTTCTTGGGAGGCTGTCAGAAATGGTGAGTGAGCACTAGAATTTTGTCTCAGCTATATAAAAACCAATTCCTAAGACTTTAAAGCTCAGGTTCCCTAATTCAACCAACTATAACTGTACCCTCGGTACAATGAAGTCAAAGAGCTTGGCTTTAGTTATTTTCCTTTGTGCAAAATGTTAACCATTATAAAAAATCTCATCTAATATTTATTAATCTCACCTTTCATTTTGATGCTGAGTTTTCGTTTTTAAACCCCTCATACTACAAGGGTGCAGATTAGATGTTTTAACTAGTTGAAGCCATGGGTCTGGATCAATGCTTTTGCCTTTCTTGTTCAACCTGCTTCCTGCCACATTATCAGCAAAAGGATCACAAACTTTCCACCTCTCTTATTGACTTGAAGCATATATTTGTTTGTCACTCAACAAAGGAAGTTTGCTAAATAGAGAGGAAAATAGGAAGCTTGGGTGGTTTCTTAAGGGATATGGAAACAAACTAAGTGTCTCAAGTGACTAATGAAACTATGGGTGAGTATACATATGTGCATGTGTGTATATACACAAGATATATACACACATATACATATACATACATTCCACGTTCCTGGCTGAACATTATTCAGCCTTTAAAAAGGAGGAGATCCATTGGGCATGGTGGCGCACTCCTCTAATCCCAAGTATTCAGGAGGCAGAGGCAAGAAGATTGAGAGTTCAAGGCCAGCTCAGGTGAAGTTAGAGAGACCCTATCTCAAAACAAAATAAAATTGAAAAGGCTATGGTCATAGCTCAAGTGGTAGAGTGCTTGCTTAGCATGAGCAAGGCCAGGGCTCAATTTCCAATATCACACACACACACACACACACACACACACACACACACACACACACACACACACAGACACACAGAAAGGCGAGGAGGAGATCCTGCCATTTGCCACAACCTGGATGGAACTGGAGGACTTTATCCTAAGGGAAATAAGCCAGACACAAACAGAAAAACGTTGCACACCTTACTTACCTGTGGAATCTAAAAACAAAGAGGTGAATTCAGGCTTTGGAGTTAGGAAGACCTGTGAGCTAACCCTGACCACTGATAAGCTGGTAACCTCTACATACCTAGCTTGGTCTTGGTTTCCATACCTATGACATAGGGATAACAGGGCTCCCCTCATGGGAGGTTAGGAGAACGGTGTCTGATGCCAGCATACCCTGCACAATTGAGTTATTGTCCCCTCACAAACAGCAAATTCACAAGGGACACGCAGTCCCTGAGACAGCAAGAGCCTTTAGAATTATTCTGCAGATATCATGCACTGCTCAATATATTGTATCAAGTTCAGGTCCTTTGGATATCGAATATTGCTACCTCATGCTTACACTTCCACCCTACGATGAGAAGTTCCTATTCCCCATGCTAGCTCTGTGCTGGCTGTGTCCTGATCACATGATGCCATGTGATCCCCCACATACCGCAGTATTTCACAGTCTGGAAGGAGCCACCACAGACATTATATTCACTGGGCTTATCCTGAGAAGGGGGTGGGATAAGTTTAGAGTATCCCTTCTTGAGGATGGAAAAACAACCTGGAAGAATAAGATTTGTTGTGAGCAAGTGGAAACCAGAGAGTTTGCGTGACTTATCCAGAACCAGGTAGCTATTAAGTGTTGGAGGCCAGACTCAAACCCAGATGTGGCGGCTCTCAGCCCAGAGTTGCCTCACTCCACCCCGCTGTGTCTGTTAAAGGCACTGTGCCGTGTTTTTCTCTCCATAAGAGCACTGTACTGTGCTTCTACAAAAATACGGACGTCTTTCTGAAACTGGCCAAAATCTTCGTCATCTAAATGTTGATAAACAAGGCATGTAATGGTCCACTTGTTGCTGCTGCCCTTCTTCTGTGTTCCCCCACCACCACCCCAAAGGAGGCTTTGTCTAGGGTCTGGTGACAGCAGTGCCCAGCACTCACTGATGAGATAAGCTCTAAGCAGCCGCATTCAGTGCAGTGACCAGCAAGTCACTGGCACCTGTCAGCTTGGTTGGTGTCAGTATGAAGGGCAGTGGTTAGGTCCCTTGAGCAAGAGGCTCAGATGACCCCTGCTCTAACTGTGTCACAGAGGATGAGGTGTATAATGCTCGGATTCATCTGCAGAAACTGCAGTAATTGTGTTGAAACCTTGTAGAATGGTGGGAAGAGGCTGTCATCAAAGGATCTGGTTCTGGTGACAGTTAACTAAGTGTATGGCCTGGGGAAACCCACTCACATTCTTGAGCTTGGTTTCCTTTTCTATAAAGAGAAGGTACTTTGTTACTAAGTGACAGAGGTATGGGCAAAGTCACCACTGAAGCATGCAAGTTGGATGGGGCCATCTTTTTTTTATTATTGTTTTTGTGCTGGGGGTACATTGCGACATTTACAAAAGTTCTTACAATATATCATAGTTGAATTCACCAGATGGGGCCATCTTAATCAAAGGATGTAATCTTTGGAGCAGGGTAAGAGGGAAGTTTATGTTGTCGGTGCTTAAAACACTCTTGACTCACAGATTTTCTCATTCAATAGCCCATCTGAATTCCAACCTGCCAGTCGGTAGCCAAAAGACATATTTCATCTGTTTGCACATATTAAGACTTCTGCTCTGTAACCCATTTTTTAGGTTGGACCAAGCTCACTTGCCTGTTTTTAGTGCTAGGCTCTAACTGCTCTCTCTGAGTCCCTGGTCTCATCTCCTCTCTTGTGAAACGAGGTCTTGAGGTATAAAATGACCTTCTGGGTACTTTGGGCCTGAAATATTATGATCTTTGGGATTCTTTAAAATCCTCACAATACTCCTGTTGTTGATAACATTTAGTTTTAAAACTTAGCAAATATGTTGCTCCTCAAAGGACAAACCTTAGTTTTGTGGGGGTGGCAGAAGATCAAGAACTGGAGTACAGGCAGGGCCTTGAGTAGTCAGGAAGGTTGGGACTGAAGAGAGTCCAGCCAGGAGGCCATTAATCAGAATGACTGCATCCAAGATGCTGAGAGTCTGGAAAGTGGAAACAAGACTACTTTGTCCTAGGGAAACTGAGGCCTGAAATTGTCACTGGCTGAGTCTGAGCAGGGTCTACCATTGTTCCCATTAAGGAAGGAAAGCACTTGGTAAAGAGCAGCCTGTAAAGATGCACCAATGAATCCAAACTGGCATGATAGAATGGGGACAAGGAAGAGAGAAGAGCCACCAGAGGCCCGGGCAGAGCCTGACCCAGATAAGTAGATACCTAGGCAGTCTACTTTGGTGTCCTGTGGAACCCACAGTCTTTAGATACTGACTTTCTGTGTAGAGAGAGGTGAGACTGGTTTCTGAGTGAGGGGAGGATGGGGACAGGTTAACTTTTTCCATACCATTCTGACCACTTCACCTCCACAGCCTAGGGCCCGTGCTTTGGACTCAGCAAAAATGACAGCCTGGTCTCTTCAAGATGACTGTCCTGGAATATCCTCCCCCACCCTCCTGCCATCCCAAGAACAAATACAAAGTACTTCTAAGTTTGCATAGTTTTGCCCCTGAAAGGAGTTCTGAGAAAAAGTTTTTAGCACCTCGCTGAATTTCTGGTGATGTTTCTTCTGCCCTTATGACTTGGGACCCCTTGTGCCAGAGCCTCACTGGCCTGCTTCCTAATCTAGTTCTCACTGGGGATGTGGAGGAGCGGGCAAGACTGACTTTATGTGGAAGGAGAAGCTATCCTGGGATCTCAGACTCCTCTCCTCCCTCCTTCTTCTGGGGTCAACACGGGGGAAGAGACTGGGGCTCTCTCCATGGAATCAGTACATTCTTGTAAAATTCACTAGGGTCTGGGAATTTGGGGTAGGAATCAGGAGCTTGCTAAACACTTCTGAGAGTTTTACTGTTTCTTTCTCTCTTGCAGAATTTTTCACTCAACTTCACACTGCCAACAAACACGGTAAGTCCAGCAGTCCCTGTTCACCAGACAGGTCAGTGAAGGTCATGGCAAAATTTACAGTGGAAACTCAAAAACTCTGTGCCACATACCTCATGTCCCCTGACAAGTTAGTTACACAGTCTGCCAAAGGCCCTGAAGAATAGTTGGGGGGTGCTGAGAGCATTTCAATATGCATTTTCAATTATAAAAATTGTAAATGCACATTTTGGAAAAGAAAAACAGCCCCCCTAAATTCCCATCAGCAGAAAGCACTGGTGGAACCCCTCCCCATCCTATTTGTCTTTACATAAATTTTGGCTTTGTATTATTGCATTCTTATTTTACATATAATTTTATATCTTAAAATGTCTTTCATCAGTCTTTATAATCATAAATCTAAGGATGGTCACGTTTTTTCAAATGAATTATTTCTTTGATTAATTATAATTAGGAAGAACTTTGTGCTAAACATCATTATAGATAATCTATGTCTGCATTTAAGATGATTCCTTGGTATTATTCTTGAAGGAGAATGACTGGGTCAACAAGAACAAACATTTTAAGGCTCTTGATTATATCCTGAGATTGTTTCAGTCATCAGGGCAGTGTTTCAATCCACAGTTGATCTTCCAGCCTCTATTCTCATGTTGTACAGAGATAACACTAACAGCCAGGGTTATTTTCTGATCACTATTGTGCCGTGATTGAGTGAGGCATTTTCCTGGCTTGGTTTTTCAGTGGGTTCAAACATACCAAATTTTTCTGGTAAGTTATATGGTTGGTTAAAGAGGACCCCTAAGCTAGTGCTCATATGGGGGCAGAGTTCTAGGGAGGAGCAGAAAGTTAGACCCCTGTAACTTACTGCTGAACTTCTGGTATCTACCACTGTCTCCTCTAGACATCTGTGTCCCACTGGTTCCCCTGGCATCTGCTCTGTCCTCCAAGGGGATGGTCTCTGCCTTCTGAACCTTCCAGACTCTTCCTGCCTCCTGGCTTCAGTCTCTCCCTGTTACCTGCTGACAGGTCCCCTGATTCCTCTCCTCACCTGTCAAAACCTTTTCCTTCAGGAACTGCTGGAAATTTCCCCCTGGCTGTAGGGACCCAGCGGTCTATAGGGACTCCAGGTGGTATCCTATAGTGCTTGGCCCATTGTATTGAGATAATGCAGGGAAACCATTGCTTGGGGCAGTGGGGATAGGTGGGGAGTAGGATGGGAGGCCCTTAAGATGCCAGCTGTCACCTTCTGAAATACTTGTTTAGCAGCTCAGATCTCAGACAACTATTCCTTCCCTACTTGTAACTGTCTTGGGCCAACCATCCTGTTGCCTAAGACTGCCTGCATTTCACTGAATGCCATGTACCCTGAGCAGCCTCTCTGGGAAACCAGGGCAGTCAGTCCTTTTATCTGGCAGTGACATTGCCACCCCACACCTTTTTGGTGCCTTTGAACAGACGGGGAAGTGGGAGAGCTAGATTCCTGGGCCACAGCTTCCTTAAGGGGTTTGAAACGGGCCTACACAGGCAAATCATTCCCTGCTGAGCCATACCGAACTCTCAAGCATGAAAAACTGGGTTGGAGTGCTGCATTTGGCCTGGGGGCAGGGTGACATAGTGTTTGCCATGTGACCTCGCACAAGTTACTTCACTTCTCTGTGCCTTCCTCCTTGCATCTGTAAAATGGGGATCATTATAGCTCTGTGTCACTAGCCGTTATGAAAAACAAATGAGTCAATATGGGGAAAGTGCTTAAATAGCCTGGCACACAGTGAGCACTCCATAAGCATTAGCTGGTGCTGATGACAGCAGAAAAATACATTTGGAAAGACAGAGTATGCAAACAGGCAAAGAAAGGCACAGGTGGGAAAAAAAAAAAAAAAGCCATGCTGCCAAGAAGAGGTAGAGAGGGGGAGCCTCATCCTAACAAGTTCCTGGTTACTTCCTACATCTGGTCCTTGGAGAGGCCAGATTCACACCTGTGCTTGGGCTCCACAGCAGCCTATATCCTTTGAATTAACTCCATTTGTTTGTTTGTTTGCCAAGGCCAGCCCAGGAAAATTTCTGTATCTGAAAACAGAATGCTTTACCTGAAATGATGGTTGACTCTTCCCACCACCTTTAGAAATAAGGCACTTTAGGCACATGCAGTGTAAAATAATAATATGGGAGTGGGAAGATTATGCTTAGCTGGAAGTATAACCATGTAAGTTATCATACCACTCTTTGATGGGAGCTCCCTGGTACAGAGTCCTGGGCTTGGAATTCAAACACCCAAGGTCAGATTAGATTTATGATTATCTGTGGAAGCTTGGACAAATCCCATAACTTTCCTGAGGTCTAGCTCATCTTTTTGTAAAATAGAGATAATAATAGTTGAAAGCCCCTGGGGCCCCAATGAACCCATTGAGGTTGCTGAGAGGATTAAGTAAGTAACAGGTCTGACCAGAGCTTGCAAAGTTTATAGGGATGATAATAATTCATGCTTATGGAAACTGTTTGATCCCCTTAACAACCAGAGAGGTGGCTACTACTGTCCCTGTTTTATAGATGAAGAAACAAGGCCCTTAGCTTGTGAGCAGAGAACTAAGCATCTCACTGCAGGCAGCACAAGCCCCAGACCTGTGATTGTTTTTTCAACACTGGGGATCAAACCTAAAGCCTCACACTGCTAGGTAAGTGCTCCACTCTGAGCTACAGCCTGGCCCTTAGGACCTGGGCTCTCATCCCCACACCACTCCATGCAGCATAGTTTACATGGCTGCCTGCTCATGTACAACTTTGTTCCCTGAGCCTTATTTATCAAGGTAAGACTTTCCCCTGAAGTGGATGAAACCCAGTGTCCCTCCTTGAGGAAGATGTGAACAAGAAACATGTCATGTATTCATTCAACATGGGTTTGTCCCCGGGAGCATGTGGATTTCACAACTCAGCCATTTGCTTCATTGCATGTGTGAAAACAAGTAAGGCTTCCTTAAAGACCCTTAATCCAGGACTTTGTTTCCCTTCTAACAATAGGGCAAGTAGGCCAAAGCATGCTGGGAAAGGTACAGGAACTAAGACAAGAGGAAACTTTTTGTGATGAAAAATGTGATATGGCAAATAATGAACACATCACCTGAATTTCTCAATTCTTTCTCCTAATAGCCTAATTTCATTCTAACTCTTAACTGGGAAACAACCAAATAAGCTGTGCTTGGTGGTTGCTGTTAATACTTCAGCAGGATACATTTTAGGAGGGGACATCTTAGCCTTAGATGCCTTACATCTTAGAGCATCGATTCCACAGATTTATTTTCTTACAACACATGTCCTTTTTTTTCTTCGCATAGACTTCCTCTCCAGCTGTGACAGATGGGAAAAAAGCAGTAAGTACACACTTAATCTATCTAGCCTTGGTTTGATCATTTGTTAACTGGAGATAATGATGCATTTGTCTTGAGGATTGATGTATGTCCTCTGTGCTCACCAAGCACAAAGCCATCTCAGATCAACAGTGAGGGAGCACATGCAAAATCACAGATGGATTTCACAAAGTATTGGGCAGAAGAAGCCAGAGACAAAAAAGTACACACCTTGAACTTGTACCTGTATGATGTTGAGAAACAGGACTCATCCATGGTGATAGATTTAAGGATAGTGGTCACATATGGGGAGATAGGGAGTCTGGGGCTTCCAGGTTCCTGGCAGTATTCTGTTTCTTGGTCTGAGTGTTGGTTACATGAGTAGTCTCCATGTGAAAGTCATCAACCTGTATTTTTAGGATTTATATGCTTGTATTATTCTTCAGAAAAATAACATACCCCAAATTAAAAGAGAATCTGACAGTACACCAAAATTGCACATTTACTTGGATTCTCAGATTGTTTTCACTATTTTCAGAAAATCCGCAAATCTGAACACTTAGGTGGCTAACAAGCATGACCATTTCCACTCAGATCAAAACAAAGACCATTCAAAAATTGGTTAATGCATTCAGTGTAAGTAAATTTTTAAAAATAACATCAAGTGGTGTGGCATATAATAAAAGCTTTTACTTTTTTTTAATTGCAGATTTTTTGTTTTTGTTATCATTGAGTTTTTCCTTTAGTCTTGAAGTATCAGGGCATCTCCTGACTGTCTTTTTCTGTCTGTGCCAGGACTGTGGTCCCGCTCTTGGATTAGCAGCAGGCATTCCGTCCCTGGTGGCCACTGCCCTGCTGGTGGCCTTACTATTCACCTTGATTCACCGAAGAAGAAGCAATGAGTCCACTGAGGTGATGACCAGCTCCTTTGGGTCTGACTGTGTAGCAGGAATCAGGATTTCAATGAACTAGCTTTTGGGTTAAGAGTATCAGAACTCAGGACCTGTGTTGTTTCCTGAAGACAAGGTGGTAGAAGTTTCTGTGCCAGAATTTCCATCTCAGACTTGACATTATGTACTGGGAACAGCTGACTTGCATACAACTTTCAGGTCACTTGAGGAAATCTCTGGCAACAAGGATGGCATTTGGGATGGCAAAAAGTGACAGTGAAGCTAGGCATGGTAGCACACACCTGCAATCCCAGCCCTCAGGAGGCCAAGGCAAGAGGATCACAAGTCAAAGGCCAGCATGGGCTCCATAGAGAGACCCTGTCTCAAAAAGCCAACAAAAAGTAAAAAGTTGCAATGGAGAGGGATGTTGGCTGCATGTCTGTGCAGTGGTGTATTTTGTACTTTCAGGGAGAGGGAAAACACAAGCTTCACAAAGAGAATGGCACATGTTGGGAGACAGAAGTGCCGAAGTGTCTATGGTAGGGTATGGGTGTGTCCAGACCCTATGTTTTCCCTTTACCTATGTCTGAACGGGCACGATTTATGACAGAACGTACACCTACTCTACACTCCCCTCAATGCCATATTGTCTGGTGCCCACACTCAGAATTCAAAAGCCACCCAGCCCTCTAGCCAACAAGGTCCATGGAAGTTATACAACTGTGTCAGACTCTGGGTCCTACTTCCACTCTCTACTTACAAACATTCATGGTTGTTTTCACATGGGTAACCATTAACAGAAAGACATAAAGACTAGATTCTAATCCTGGCTCTGCCACTTATGACCTACATGATCTTAGACTTAACATTTCTTATGCCTTGGTTAGTTGAAGTAAAAAACAGACTGTCATAAAAACTACCCTTTCAGGCGAGAGATGTAGCTCAAGAGTGAGGCTCTGAGTTTCATCTCCAGTACTGCAAAGAATGAATACACAAACAAAAACCTACCCTCCTTATTTTAAGAGGCAGGGGAAATTGTAGGGATGACGTGAGATCATGTCTGATGGACATCTTTATGTCGGATGTAAGGATGTGTTGATAAGCTGTAACCTTCAAAGACATTAAGAAGTAATTGTGGGTGAGGATGTTATTTAAGTAATAGTTTCTCAGCCTCCAGCGCACTTTAAAATCATTCTCAGAGGCTAAAAAATTCCAATCACCAAAACCAATTAAATTCAAATTTCTGGATGACACAGCTGTGCATACATATACATATGTGTGTGTGTGTGTGTGTGTGTGTGTGTGTGTGTGTGTGTGTGTGTTTGTGGATAAGGAGATTGAACCCAGGCCTTGTGCATACTAGGCAAGCACTCTACTACTAAGCTACTCCCCCAGTCCAACAAATACTTTTTATTATGGATACAATAGTTCTTCCATGATTCACAAAGAATGCATTCTAAGACCCCTTTCCAGTGGATGCTTGATACCATGGGTAGTATATATTACCCATGAAACATATACTGTTTTTCATTATGCATATATACCCATGATAAAGTTTAATTTATAAATTAGGCATGGTAAGAGACCAACAACAATAAACCAATAATAAAATAGAACAATTGCAGCAATATTCTGTTAGAAAAATTTTGTGAATTTTCTTGCCTTTTTTCTCACTGCGACTGGGTGGGTAGTATACACAGTATGGATGAAGAGATGAAGCAGGATGCTCAGAATTTCATCATTTTACTCAGAATAGTAATTTAAAACTTGTGAATTGTTTGTTTCTGGAATTTCCCATTAACATTTTCAGATCTTAGTTGACCAACAGTAACTGAAATCATGGAAAGTGAAATCTTTATAAAGAGGGATTATTGTAACTGTAAACATGTACTAACATAGAACGAGTAGTACAGTGAACCCAGTTATCACCTAGTGGCTAATTTTGTTTTACCTCTACTTCCACTCACTCCACAATGTGATGCCTAGATTATTTTTAAGTAACTCATAATGATGTTTGATTTGTTTTGTTTTGGAAGGATTATTATCTGTGTGTGTTCTGTTTTGTTTCTGACGTTCCCTGGGGATTCTAATGTGCATTCTGGTTTTAAAACCATTGTTCTTTTGTTGTTTATTTTTTGGCAGCACTGGGGTTTGAACTCAGGGCCTCACACTTGCTAGGTGGGTGCTCTACCACTTGAGCCATTCCACCAGTCCTGGTTTGTGTTGGGTATTTTAAAGATAAAGTCTTGTGAACTATTTGCCCTGACCAGATTCAAAGTGAGATCCCCCTGATCTCTGCCTCCTGTGGAGGTAAGATTACAAGTGTGAGCCACCGGCACTCAGCAAAACCATTTTAATTGTGGTTATGGTGACCCTTTACTTCTTTTCTTATCAATTTAGGAAAGTGAGAGACCATGTGAAATTTCAGAAATCAGTGAAAATCCCAAGATATCTGAGGTAAGAACTTTTTGGTTATAATATCCATACATGATTCATATAATAACCAAGCTAAAGCTCTTCATGCACAAAAGTATGGTGTGAGCACATGTGGAAACAAGGCAAACCAATAAATCTCAGTACAATGAAAGCTCTTACTGTATTTTATTGACTGTATAGGAATTCAAGATTAATTGAATATTAGAAACTCAATATATCATTTATTTTACTGACAAATTAAAAGAAAAAAATTATGTGACCATCTCAATGGGATATGAGAATTCAAAAAAATTGTGGGAGAGTTCTTTCCATATTGCTTGTCTGATGAAGCCATTTGTGACATACACTTCAAGCAAGCTGCAGTGGGAACTTAAATTAAAATGATATCATTTAAAAAAAATCACAGCAAACATCATACCTAAGGGTAAAATGTTTAAAGCATTCTCTTTAAGATCAGAAATAAATCAAAGATGTTCTTCACTTCTATTCAACATTTTACTTTAGGTCCTAATCAATATAGTAGGATAAAAAAAAGAAGTAGAAATAGAAGTCTAAAGGGGAGGAACAAAATTGTCATTACTTACAGATATGATTGCATAGAAAAGACAAATAATTTACAGGTAAATTTTTAGAATTAGAAAAAATATTTTAACAAATTTTCTGGATAATAAGAATCAACACACAAAAAATGTGCACTTCTCAGGATGAAAAGTAATTTTGTAAAATACCAATTTGCAGTGGTAATAAAAATATTTAGAATGCTAAAGAATAAATCTTATAAAATATGTAATCACTTCACAGAAAATAATTAAACTTAGTAAAAGACATTCAATAATACCTAAATAATGAGGATCCTTCCTAACCATGATCCTGCATAGGAAGACTCAATAGTATAAAAAATGTCAAGCATCATGAATTCATGGTTCATTTGTTATCTATACAATAAATGTAATTCCAATATAAATCCCAATAGATTTTTTTTCATGAAACTTAGTAAGATTCTTCTAAAATCTACATGGAATAAGGAAGAAAAAGATTTTAAAAGAAACAATGAACAGACAGAATAAGAAAAAAAGAAGGATGATGGATTTTAACACAACCATATCAATGATCACACTAAATGTAAATGCTCTAAAAAACCCCAACTAAAAGACAGAGATATTCAGATTAACTGTAAAAGCAAAATCCAAGTTATATCTATAAAATCTTACTCTAAATATAAAAATTCTAATAGATTAAAAGTTAAAGAATGGAAAAAGAGAGATTATGTTAACAATAAGTCAAAGAGAGTTGAGTGGTCTGAAAACCTCCCAAGGCACTAAGTACAGGCAATTGCAGACCTTTCCTCACTTGTCTTTCTATTTCTCAAGGACCACTGTCCTTCCTAATCAGATGTCCAATATCTTGTTTCAAATGTTTAGTCTGATTTTTGGTTGTTTAAGATGGGAGGGCAATATGGTTGCTGTTACTCCATCTTGGCCCAAAACAGAAGTCTCTGATGTATTTTTTAAAAATCTGTTTGTTTTCTCAAGAATCCTAGGAGGTCATCCACACATGAGAAGACTAGAACAGGAGCACAAGAAGCCCACATATATGTGAAGACTGTATCAGGAAGTGAGGAACACCTGCCTGACACTTACCGCCCTCCTGAAGAAATGGAGAGAAGGAGGGGATTGTGGTGGCTTGTGCCCAGATTGAGCCTAGAATAATATGGTTTAGTAAAGGAGCAGACCTAGAGCAGGAACAGGACTGAAAACCAGGGATTTCTGCTTGGAGAAGAGAGATATAACAAGCTGCTTCTTCACCAATTCAGATTTCATTATAGATCTAGAAAACTTTTGGGGTGATTTGTCTCTGTAAGTGACAACACCAGTAAGCTTCATTCCAATCCTCAGACCCTGAAGTTTAATTAGTGGTGAAGCACCAGATGAGTTCACTGTGCATCTGGATATAGCCCCTTAGGCCCTGTTCCTGATCCCATTAGGAATTTGCTCTGTGATTTTGAAAAACAGGTTTGGTTTCTGAGTGTCTTACCATGTCATCTTTCTGTCATATTCCTTTTCTCAAAAAAAAAAAAAAAGAAGCTATCAGACCTGGCTTCTATGGTATTGTTGGTCAAGGTCTGCCTGGTACAAGTCAGAGTATAAATGAAACTTATATAGGATGTGTAAGAGGAAGCCATTTCTTATTTCGGAATATCTCAGGAAAAATCACGTGGAACCACACATTCCCTGACCACAGGGCAGCATATGGTTGGGTGCTGTCAAAGAGTAGTGGAAAGAATAGGGACTACTGAATCAGGCCTGCCACTATGCAGCTGTATGACTTTGGGAGAAGTAGATTAACTTCTTTCTAAGCCTCAGTTTTATGTTTTGTAAAAGAGGGGTCAATATTACTTGCTTCATTTGGCTATTGAAAAGATTATGTAAGAAATGAAGAGAAGAGCTTACTACTTAGTAGGCACTAAAAATGTTAGTTCTCCCTCCCTACTCACCTCTTCTTACTTCTTCTTATCCTACTTGTCTGGTAAAGTCAAGCCTCTGATTGCCAGCATTTGTTACCCACAAAGGTCATCAAGAGAAGAGTTATGGCAAACTTTTTCCAAGGCCTGCAATCTCAAAGGCCTGTTGATATATAAAGATAAGTCTAAGCATCACTAGTGATCTGTGAAACTGACATGATCTGTCCTTACATGGGAAGCAGCAAAAGCTAGGTTCTTACAAGTCCCAGATTCCAAGTAGATTACTTGTCATGTACATTAAACTTTCAAGAGGTTGAAGGTGGTAAAGCTTCATAGTTTATATTAAAATGACTTATCTTTTCAGTGAAGCATTTTGCTTAATTTTAAAAGCAAGACATTATGCTTATGATAGCAGTTCCTCAAATATCTTTGACTTCAAAGGTAGTTGCTAAGGACAAATTCTTTTATCTAAACAGGAAAGTCTGCAGCAGGAAGATGAATCCCTGAGCCCATCTTGCTCCTTTAGCTTGCTAAGCACTCCCTCCAGAGCAGCTGATGGAAAAGGAGAAACTACCTGGAAAGGGATTGAGCCTACTGAGCATATTGGATAAGAAAAATCAGTTTGTCCTATTTTGTGTGGATTACTCCAGAAACTCCTCTTTCCAGTTTTCAAAACCTCTCTGCCCTTGTTTTCCCTTTTATCCACATTTCACCCTCAACACTAACTTCATTTTCTCTGTGATTTTGGGCAAGCTGCCTTCTTAGCACTGTCAGATATCCCACCACACACCTGGGTCTAGGAAAAACATTCTCTGATCACGGAGAATATTAAGGAGGGCAGTTCTGTATCATTGTGTGTGATGTGGGTAAAGAAGGGGTAAGGACCTGTTAGAATAGCTGTCATTAGCAACATCACCAACAACAGGTGTTGGCGAGGATGTGGGGAAAAAGGAACCCTCTTACACTGCTGGTGGGAATGTAAACTAGTACAACCACTCTGGAAAAAAATTTGGAGTCTACTTAAAAAGCTAAACATTGATCTACCATTTGATCCAGCAATACCACTGTTGGGGATACACCCAAAAGACTGTGACACAGGTTACTCCAGAGGCACCTGCACACCCATGTTTATTGCAGCACTATTCACAATAGCCAAGTTATGGAAACAGCCAAGATGCCCCAGCACTGACGAATGGATTAAGAAAATGTGGTATCTATATACAATGGAATTTTATGCAGCCATGAAGAAGAACAAAATGTTATCATTCGCTGGTAAATGGATGGAATTGGAGAACATCATTCTGAGTGAGGTTAGTCTGGCCCAAAAGACCAAAAATCGTATGTTCTCCCTCATATGTGGACATTAGATCAAGGGCAAACACAACAAGGGGATTGGACTATGAGCACATGATAAAAGTGAGAGCACACAAGGGAGGGGTGAGGATAGGTAAGACACCTAAAAAATTAGCTAGCATTTGTTGCCCTCAACACAGAGAAACTAAAGCAGATACCTTAAAAGCAACTGAGGCCAATAAGGAAAAGGGGAACAGGTACTAGAGAAAAGGTTAGTTCAAGAAGAATTAACCTAGAAGGTAACACACTCTCACAGGAAATCAATGTGAGTCAATGCCCTGTATAGCTATCCTTATCTCAACCAGCAAAAACCCTTGTTCCTTCCTATTATTGCTTATACTCTCTCTACAACAAAATTAGAAATAAGGGCAAAATAGTTTCTGCTGGGTATTGAGGGGGGGAGCGGGAAGGGGCAGAGTGGGTGGTAAGGGAGGGGGTGGGGGCAGGGGGGAGAAATGAACCAAGCCTTGTATGCACATATGAATAATAAAAGAAAAAGGAAAAAAAAAAGAATTAATCTAGAAGGTAACACACATGCACAGGAAATTAATGTGAGTCAAATCCCTGTATAGTTATCCTTATCTCAACCAGGAACACTTGTTCCTTCCTATTATTGCTTATACTCTCTCTACAACAAAATTAGAGATAAGGGCAAAATAGTTTCTGCCGGGTATCGAGGGGGTGGGGGGGAGAGAGAGGGGCAGGGTGGGTGATAAGGGAGGGGGTGGGGGCAAGGGGGAGAAATGACCCAAGCATTGTATGCACATATGAATAATAAAAAATAAATAAATAAAATTAAAAAAAAAAGAAGGGGTAAGGAAAGCAAGAGTTGCTCTAAGAGATTATTACAAACAAGTGCTTCTCCATTCTGTGATAGCTAAGAAAAGACTCAAGTCCTTGGACTATCATTATGAAAAACTATTTGGCAGGAAGAGAGATCAAGAGGATCAAGGGAAGAACACAGGACCAAAGAAAGGGCTGAGTTGCTACACACCTGCCATCTAAGAGGAACCCAGGGATAATGTCAACCAACTTGGGCCAGGCCTTCTCTTTGATTTCTGTAAGGAGGCTCCAGGCAGCCTGGCTCTCCCACAAATGGCCACTGCCTTCAAGCAGGCCAAGCCTACCTACAGGGAAGCCTGGGTTCAGTGGTATCTCGGGGATACCCACCAGCTCCACGAACCACCTTGACATCATGGAAAACATTCCTTTCTCACTTAGGGCCTCTGCTTGGCAATGTGCTCTTCTTTCCCCAATAACAGGAAACGAGTTCTTTAAACCCAGTCACTGTCACATGCTAACACTTGCTTTTCAAAGCCCCTTGTGAAATTCAATTTTGTTCCCTGGGTCCAGTCACCTTTATAAGTAATTTGGCCACTTTTAAGCAGCTGTGCCCAGGGATGGTGGTGCTTTTTCTCCTCTTACATATTAGGAGGGCCTTGGGTTTACTGAGAACTCAGCTGTGGCTTTGGCTTTGGTACTCATAGGTGTCAGCCCTAACTCAGACTGTTGACACCTGAACCCTCGGTTGTTTACTTATAAAGTGGAGATAGCAGTTTTCATTCTCAACTCTATAAGGTCACTTTTGAAACTTGATTGAAATACGCGCATCAGCTGGGCATGGAGGCGCATGCCTGTAATCCTAGCATTCCAGGCTGAGGCAGGAGGATCACAAGTTGGATGCCAGCCTGGGCTATGTAGTGAGACCCTTTCTCATAAAAGAATAAAAAAGCATGTCAAGAAGCCTGGAGCCTATAAAGTAAGGTATGACTTGTGTTTGGGGTCACTTGTTTTAATTTTACTTATTGTAATCTATTGCTTAGAATCTTCATTTCAAATTGCTTCTACTAAGTTCTATTCTATTGCTTCTACCAAGTTTTATTCCAAAAACTTATTTTGGAATAAAGTGAAAAGTCAAATGGCCATTTTTAGAAATGTACAAAATATCTGTGGCTTTCCTTTGCCTACATTAAAGTACAGGACACTTGCCCTGGGCTTAAAACCGAGATTATTCAGGGACATTCCTGGTACTGGCACGTTCTCAGCCAGATGATGTTTAGTCCTTTGCAGAGAGCAGCTGCCCAGTATTGAAAATGCTGAAACTGGAAGTTAGCCCGGGGATGATGGTAAGGGGATCTTGGGCAGGTCTCACAATATGTTTGGGTCCTGTTTCTTCATGTGTCACTTAGTGTTTGGGTTGGTTTGTTTTTAAGGTTATGCCCATCCAGTTCGAACATTCTGACTTTGTTTTTCACAAACCTTGAAAAGCAAAGTCCCCATCCCTGCCCTCTGCCTTCCTGCCCTGGCCCCACCCCCATAAGCACAGGTCTCTGTACTCTGTGGTCCTTCTCAGCTCATAACTTTACAGGTGGACACAGGTACTGGTTTCTATTTTGTCAGGAAGTAACAATGATTACATAGTTTTCTTTTTGGCAGTTACTCCTGAAACATAATAACACTAATTAAAGACAAAAAAGTCATAATGAAGGATTGCCAATTCACATACTCTTTTTACTCCTACCATTTAGGTGAGAATTATTGTTTGATGCATGAATTGATTTAGCACATGTGCACTGGCTTCTTTCCAATGTCAAACAACCTGCCATGTCCTAAGACAACACTGGAGGCATAATGAAAAAGCGAAAGACAACTGGGTTTATTTTACCCTTTATTTTTATTATTAGGATATATTCTTTGTACAGGGCGGATTCATGTGACAATTCCAGATAGGCTTATATTGCACATTGGTTAGATCACCCCCATGTCTCTCACCCTCAGCCCCCTCTCCACCCTGCTTCAAGCAATTGTAAGAGGTTTCTTTGCTCTATTTCATATAAGTATATGAAGTTCAGTAACCATATACTCTCACCTTAATCTCCTTCACTCAACCTTCCC